AAAAAAAAAAAAAAAAAAAAAAAAAAAAAAAAAAAAAAAAAAAAAAAAAAAAAAAAAAAAAAAGGAAGTCGAAGCAGTTTCACACTGAGCAGAGATAAAAATACCACTCCTCCCGTGGCTGTGGTGAAGAAGTTCGAGCCGTGGCGGGGGCTCCAAGGGCTTTCTCCGGAAGGAGCCTTCCCGGCCAGTCCCGGCGTGCCATCAATTTATGGGATGCGCTGGATTTCATTAAAACGCCATAAAGAAACCGGCACAAACGCAGATCCCATTTCCCTTCCCCTTCCTGTAAAAACATCTGGTCGGCAGAAAMGGCTCGGGACGCTTCCGCTGCGAATCACGGCCTTGGTGGGGTTTGGGATTTGGCCGTGCCAGAGGTGTTWGGGGTTGGGGCACAGCTGAGGGATGGGGCAGCCCCAAAGCAGAAAAACCTGGGGCTGCTTCGGTTTAAAATGATGAAGGTGAAGAAGGAACTCAGAGGTACCCAGCCCTAAAGGTTATATGGGATTAAATGGTGTGGGAGAGGAGGATTTCCACCCCAAAGAAATCAGGGAGGGCTGGTGAGCATCACCTCGTAACAGACAACAGAGAATCCACCTGGGCTGYAATTCCTGGACTGGGTGGATTCTCCCAGGGCTAAAAATATATATAGAGATACACAGGAACTCCAGATATCGGGATACCCCAATATCCTGATATTCTGATATCCCTCTGTGGCCACCCCACACCCTCTGGAATGTCCCCAGGTTGCTCCCACCCCATGTCCTGCAGCCAGGCAGTGACCCTCACCCAGGAGAGGAGAGCACCAAATCCCAAATCCCTCCTTCACATCACTTTCCCAGTGCTCGAGGGAGGAAGGAGCGATGCCAAAACCAAACCAGCCCCGGCTGTGAGCACGGGAAGGGGAGCTGCTCCCGATCCCAAAATCCTCATCTCCGCTGGCACAGGGCTGGGGAAGGGGATTCCTGGAATTAGGGATCACCAGATTATCCAGCACAGCGCCCTGACCCCTCACCCAGCACARCCACCCAAGCAGTAAATGGGATCAGGGCTCTTCAAAGCCCCCAATCCCTTTGATGCCAGGCAAGTTATGGGATTAAGCTCAGAGGCCCCRTTGGAGCATCAGGAGAAAAGGGGGAAAAGAAGATAAAAGCTGCCAAAAGCTCCCCTCCCCCTCCTTTCCCCACACACCTGCCTTTTCCAAGGAAATTCCAAGGGGATGGATATCTGGGGGCTTGTAAAGCCACTGTAAAGCCATGAGGCTGAGCAGAATTTCTTGTTTTATCCTATTATTTATAGGGTGGAAAGGGGGAAGGAAGAGGAGGAAGGGGGAAGGAAGAGGAGGAAGGGGGAAGGAAGAGGAGGAAGGGGGAAGGAAGAGGAAGAAGGGAAAAGGAAGAGGAGGAAGGGGAAATGGCTCTTCAGGGAGACCCTGAGCGTGACCAACCTCACAGTCCAGACACCAGCTGGATTGAAAAATCCCAAGAACTGRGTTTACAGTTATTATTTAAAACCATCGATTTTCTACGGTGATCAACAGCATCGTCAAATCAGGAACAGACCCACGGGATGGGGAAAAGGCAGCAGGAAAGCCCTGGGAGCATCCCATGGGCAGGAAAAGGGAGGGGAGGGGGCTCCTTACAGCCATTCCCAGGAGGTTTTTGGGGTTTTTTCAGTTATTTTAAGGGAAAATCCACCTCTCAAAAAGCTGTCATGTTCTCCCTGCTCCATGGTTTGCCCCTGTGCCTGCTTGGGGAGTGGGGAAACTTTCCTCTGCCCCCAGAATCYGAGCACAATTATTAGGAAAGGGTCTGGATTGATTGTGCTGTAAAGGAGATGGGAGCTGGCCCCGGCCCAGGGAATTGGAAAGGAAGGAGCCGCCCTGAGAATATTTGCACAGGAAGCAATTTAATCCAGAGGCTTGCAAAATCTGATGAGGAACATCCCCCACTTCCGCAGCCCTGGCTGAGAAACCCCCTGCTCGGGGTCTCAGGCCTYGTGGTGATGTGGAGCTCCAGGAAATCTCCATCCCGTGGAGATTGTGGGGAATAATGCTCAGAGCATTGGGGAAATTGGTCAGGGATTGTTGGAAACATCTCCCACCCCTGGGTCAAAGCTGGTCAGGGAATGTGGAGAGAGGAAGAATGTGCTGGGCTCRCTTCCCAAGGGGGAGGGAAAAATATAGAAAAAGGGAGGAAAGGGGAAAAAAAATAGGGGTGGTGGGACAGGAGAAAATGGTGGAGGTAGGAAAAAAAAGGGGGGATTGAAAAAAGAAAAGGGGAAGTGAAAAAAGGAAAAGGGGGAAGAAAAAGAAAAATGGGATGAAAATAAAAGGGATTAAAAAAAAAGAAAAAAGTGGGGGAAAAGGGAAAAAAGGGGGAGAAAAGGGATGAGGGAGAGGGAAAAGGCAGAGCTCTGCAGCTGCTGGAGCACCCTCCAAGTGCCCCAGAGCGCCTCTGACCTCTCTGTGCCCCGGGATGGGGACACACGCTCCCACAGGGACAAACAACTGCAACCCTTGACACGACGGAGCAAAACCAGCTTTTACTTTCAGATGTTACAGTTTTGATGTTGTTTCTTTCCTCAAATATTTAATATTGGAGTCGTTTGACGGAAATAGCAGGAATTCAGCCAGCTGCTCCCTGACCCTGCTGCCCCGAAGGCAGGGACAAGGCTCCAGCTCTACCGGAGGTTTCCTCCTTCCAAAGCACAAGTTTGTCATCAAAGGCAAACGAGCACCAAAAGAAAAAAAAAAAAAAAAAAGGAAAAAGAAAGAGAAAATTCATCCCATCACGCCTGTGCAAGGCCTGCCTTGTGGAGGAACTATCTTTTTACAGATTGAGCACCCCAGCTTCCCCCACATGGCTCCCCTCCCTCACATCCTGCACCAGCTCCGCTCCAGCCACATCCCAGCACCACGGGAGCTCCCTGGAGCAGCCGAGAGCTGAACTTTCAGTCACAAAACTACTTCCAAAAAGCAAAACTACGGCTCCGGCTGGGAGCAGAGAAAGGCACAGAGCCTAATTCCTCTTTCCCTTTCCTCCCCCAGCTTGCCCAAGCGAGCAGATGCTCAGGCTGCTGAAGCCACAGCACAAGGGGCAGGGTGAGTCTGGGGTTCCTCAGCCTGGGTGACCCCTCACCTTGCTGGGACGGGTCCAAGGGGCTGGGATGAGTGGGATGGAGGCCACCAGCCTCTATCCTGAGCTTGGAACACAGGCTCTCTGCTTCCAGCTGGAAAACACGGCGCTGGGGTCCCAGCAGGGAGAAATGCAATGACAAATTGACCGACTGCAGCAACGAGAACACATCCCCACGGCTCCTCTCACTCTCCAAATGTGACCCTGCAGGCCAGTGGTGGCTCTGTCTCCTTCTCAGAGGTTTTTTTTAACAAACGAGGCACATCCTCGTGCGGCTGCAGCAGCGGGAGAGCGGCGGCACAGCAAACCCGTGTGGGTTTGGTGAGAAACCCTCGTGGTGCTGCGGGATGCTCTGGCACCCGGGCATCGTCCCGCAGCATCACCCGGCTGGAACAGGCCAAAAGCGGCGGATCCTTACCTTGGGCGGGTCGAAGAGCTCCAGCGCAAAATCCTCGGCGTCGGGCGGCCCCGCTCGCCGCAGCACCAGGCGGCAGCGCTGCCAGCGCGTCCCGCTGTCCAGGGAGGTCTCATCCAGCAGCCCGTACTTGAGGAGCCCCTCCTTGCGCACCTCGGGGGGCTGCTCCCGCGACAGCCCCCAGGGCAGGATGCGCTTCCCGAGTCCCGGTTTGAGAGCCGCCTCCGCCGCCTCGCCGTCGCCATCCCCGGGCAGCGCRTCCGAGGAGCGGCGGCGGAAGAGGCTGCGCCAGCTCCTGCGCAGCTGGCTGAGCGAGAAGGGTCTGCGCGCCGGCCCCGCCAGCTCCTCCGAGCTCCAGGACTTGCGCAGACCCGACGGGGCAGCCTCGGGGGCTCGGACGGGCTGCTCGGGGCGGGCGCCGGGCTCCGYCTCGGCTTTGGTGGCCACCGTGGCCAGGGAAGCGTCGGTGTGGCGCCGGTGCGTGTCCCGGTAATCCCGCGCCGGGCAGGCTGGCAGGATGAGGAGCTGGTTCATGGCGATGCCCTCCTTCACCTCGTGGCAGAAGTACTGCTGGAAGAGGTCGGTGAACTGCACCGAGAAGTTCTCGGCGGCCAGGAGGTCATGGTGCGGGTGCTCGGTGGCGAAGCGCAGGTAGTGCCGCGCCAGCTCCTTGGCCGTGCTGATGGCGTGCAGCTCGCAGAACTCATGCCAGCCCCGGGGATGCGCTGGCGTGCCGGCCGGCAGCGAGTGCCCATTCATTGCCGAGGTTCCAGCGAGGCGGCCGCGCTGCAAGACAGAGCACACGGGTGGGTCAGGGCAGYCCCGGTGTCCCCCGGCCCTCCTCCCCTTGGCTGGAGCGGCCATACCCCGSTCGCCCACGGGGCAGCAGCGTGGGGAGCGCTGGTGGTCAGCGGGRTCCCACTCAAACCATTCCCACGGACACACTGGAAACGGCCGGGGCGCGGCCGCTTCTCAATGAACACCCACTGTTTGGCCACCAGTAGCCACCAGCAGTGGCCATGCGGGACTCCGAGCCCCCAGCCCCGCCTGGCAGGGCCGTGCCTCAGTTTCCCCACCTGCGCGGTGGGGAGCGGGTGCGGGGCGTCTGCGCGGCTTCCTGCCAGCACAGCTGCCGGCAGCTGCCCGCCGCCCGCGGGGACGCCTGGCCCGGCCACATCCGCTCGGCTCCTGCCAAGGCTCCGCAGCGCCGATGGGTTTCCCTCCAGGGACCTATTTCAACGGAGCTGATAAAACTGCAACGGGGGCGGGAGGGGAGGAAACAACATGAAAAGCTGCAGAAATCCAGGGACGGAGTTGCCTCGCTGTCAGATCCTCCCAGCCTCAGCGGCCTTGGGGAAACGCGGCCACGCCGCCGGCACTGCCCGGGGTGAACGCGCGTTCCCGAGGGGATGCTCCGGGACCGGGCAGCTGCCGGGCTCTGGCAAACCACACCGTATCTRTGTCCCCAGGAGATTTCCCTGCCAGGCCAATCTGATGGCACCGTGGCTGGGGCGCARCCGGCCCGGCGTGCCCGGCTGAGCCGGCAGTGGCGCTCCCCAGGGCCGGCCCCGCCGCTCGCCACYCACATTCGTGCTCGCCCGGGCCACTTATCGGGCCCGCGCACCCCGCTCAGGAAGGAAACATCGGCCAACCCACCCGGATCCTGCAGCGCCGCCTCCCCGAAACTCCAGCACTGGCACCCCGGCTGCTGGGAGGGGAGGAAAAGTGATTGCATGTCAGGGGGAGGAAAAGTTAAAAAAAATAATAAGAAGAAAAACAGAAAAAAGTGGGGTGGGGAGGAAGAGAACGGGAGGCGAGGAACGTGCCGGCACGGCGGATCGTGTGCGCGGCCGGGGCRGCGATAACGCCGGGAAGCGGGGCTCTATCTCTGCCCCGCCGCTGCCCTGCCGAGCACGTCCCGCGGAGCTCACAGCCGATGGGGAGATGTTATCTGCGCCCCGCCAGCCTCGCCGGGCCCGGCTTCTCAGAAGAGCCGCCCAAGGTTCGGGGCGGTCCGGCGTCCCGGCGGTGCAGGGCATGCGCCCGCCGCAGCCCGGCCGAATCCCCCGGCAGGGCCCCGTCTATCAGCGCCGCCAGCCTGCCGGTGACTCAGCATCCTCCGCCGCTCTCCCGCTTCCTCCCGGCACCCGGGAATCGCCGCCGCACCACCCACGCCGCCGGCACGCTCAGCGGGATGCTCCCGCGAAACGCGGGGGGAAGCGAAGCTCCGGCTCCTCGGGCAGGTGCGAGATTCCCGGRGCAGGGAATTCGCCTTCCAAGATTTCGGGCTCGCTTCGCGCCGGCTTCGGGAGAGGTTTGTGGCGCGGGAAAAGCCGGGCTTCGTCCGTGCCACGCGGTGGGAAGCAGCCGAAGGCCGTCGCCAGTAGCAACGCGCTTTTCCAGCCCGACGATGGGAAATACTCCCCGGCGCTTCCTCCTCCCAGCGCTGGCACAATGCCGACCTCGCTGCTCCCTCCTGGCGCTTTTCCCAGGTGGAAAGAGCGATCCCGGATGAATCCGTGCTGGAGTTACCGCAGCAGCCTCCCGCTCCTCTGCTCAGCCCCAGATTTCAGCGGCAACATCCACAGGGATGCGAGTTCCTGCTGCCCGTTGTGCTCTRCAGCGCTGGAATCCACCAGCCAGTGGCTTTAAGGCAGAATTTACATCTTATTCCTCCTATTTTCCCGTGAGGAGCTCCTGGACACCCTGCAGGTTGTCTGAAGCATTTGTTGAGATAGCTGAATGCTTTAATTTGCTCTGAATGGAGAATCCAGCCCATCCTCGGACACACCATGGATCAGTTGGGACAGAGGGGCTTCCATCCCGGCTGGAAGAGCTGCACGTCACCCAGCACACCCCACCTGGGGGTGCTGAGGTTGTTTTGGGGCGCTGGGGTTGTTTAGGGCTGCCGGGCCAGGAGCTCGAGGAAGAGCGGGACGGGCTGGACCGGCCACGGTGGCTTTGATGCGGGCTGGGACGGCGAGTTGGGGCTTGTGCAGGATCCAGCCCTGCAGCCCAGCCACCCCCGGGAGCTTCCCTTCAACTCTTGCCCAACCTGAGCGTTGCTGCTGCGGCGGCGGTGCCAGCACCGAGCGGGACGGGAACGCGCGCCTGGACCCGGCAATGGGGTATTTGTCCCAGTAAATGCGTTTGTTGTTTAATTGCAGCCACGGGAGCCGGCAGCACCAGGCCGTGCCAGCGCAGCGATCCTGCCGCCCGCTCCCGCAGGATGAGCATTCAGAGCCAGCTGGCCCTGCCGGATCCAGCTCGCCACCTTCCCACCGCGGAGCAGCCGTGTCCACCCAGGAAAGTCACCCTGCAGCACTCCTCGCAGCCCCGAGGGGAAGTGTGGAGGAGCAGAGCCCTCGTGGCTGTGCCCTGTGCCCAGCCCTGCTCACACATGTGCAGCACCACCACCCAAAAAAACAAAGCCGGCCCCACTCGCCGCCAGCTCCATGAATAGGGAATGTGATTGATGAGCAGGCTCTCCCAGAAATAACCATTCCCAGCCGGAGGAGAAGCGTCCGGAGGCATTTGCAGCTCCCTTTATAAGCACAGGACCATTCCAAACTCATCCCAAGGACTATTTTCAGGCSAGGGCGAAGCGAGGGGCCGGGAGCCGCCCTGGCCGGCCCCGCAGCTCCCCGCTTCCCGAGCGGCACAAATACAAAGTTCCCACAATCCCAAGAGCGGGAACATTGTTCCTTCCCAGGATGTCCTCCATGAAAAGAGCTATTCTGAGCCGGCTGCAGCCTTTCTTGGCACGGCCCCGCAGCCGCTCCGAGGCGGCTATAAAAGGCCGGGTTACAATGAACGGCACTTTTCAATGGAAGAGCATCCGGCACGGCGGGTTCGGGGGGATGCAGGTCCCCAGCCAAAGGTGGGCTCGAAAGGGCTGGGCGGTGCAGAGCATCCCCTCAGGATGGGGGTGGTGCAGCCCCTCTCTGCATCCCAATCCCCTGGAGATGCTGGAGGAACATCTGGATGCACCCCTGGATTGAGGGGGATAAGTGGGGTGCCACATCCGTTTGGGGGTGGGTGTGGAGATGCTGGCATGAGGAAGGCAGGAGGGGTTGGGGCAGGGGGAGAGGTGGGAAAGGGTCCTGCTGCAGCCTCTGGATGGGGGATACAGCCACAGATTTACAGCCAGGGCAATTTGTGCCAGCAAAATCCACCACAGAAACTGCCCGGCCCTGTGCTCCTGCTCCCTCTGGAGCAGCCCTCGGTGACAGTGAGGATTCTCTGGGTCTCACAGAGGGTGGTGGCACGGCACCATCGCTCCCTGTGGCCCTCTGGCTGTTTCCACACAAGCTGGAAAACCCCAGGGGTCTGGGAGCTTCCCTCTTTCTTTTTGGGCTGCAAGTTAAAAAGCCAGAAAGGAGCAGGGCAGTGAGATCCCCCAATCTGCACAATCCCTAGGGCCTGTTTTCTTAGGAAATCAGTTTAAAAGCCAGCGTGGGAAGAAAGATTTTGCCCTCTTTCCCCCCTTTCTCACAGGACATGCACACTCCTCGCATTTCACCCCCTGACACCACACAACTCGCTCAATTAAAGACCCAAACCTGCCTGAATCTACAGCTCTCTGTGGGCTGAGCAGCACCACAGACCTCTGGGGGATGTCACAGCACTTCAAACCCAAGGAAAATCCACCTGTCTGGCTTTCCTTGACCACTCCAACAAGACAGGCGGGATGGAAACGACCCAAACTCAGCTCAAATCCAGCTCCACACCACCTTGGCCCACAAGAGCTCACCAGGACAAAAAAAAAACAAACCTGCAGCCAGCCCAGCTCCCCAGAAACCCTTTGCCTGCTTCCACCCCGTGGCGTCTGGCACCTCGCAGCCTGGCTTGCACCATCACACTCTCCTACACCCACAGCCCGCGGGGAAAAGCCCGGCAGCGGGGTGGCCTCTTTCGACAGGGCTTGTTTTGTTGCGCGAAATGAATCGCTGCGGTGTAGGCGTGGGAGAAAGCGGCTGCGGGGAGCGGCTCCCCGGGGGTCCCTGGGGACAGCAGGGAGCAGCTCCGCTCCCAGCCAGCTTGAGGACCCCCAAGGACCCCCAAGAACCGCTGGATTTGGCCCTTTCTCCTTGCCAAGCCGCGAGCACCACAAACCCCACCATCGACGAGCGCTTGCACTTTCACTTTGTGTCACCCGCTGGGATTTGTCCCGACACCTTCGCGGCGCCCATCAGTCCCACGGGGTGTGGGTGGGGAGGATTTGCTCCGGCTGAGGATGGAAGATCCCTCAAAAGCCACTGGCACTGGCACCCCAGCCTCTCCAGCACGATGCAGGGTGCTGGCAGCTCCACAGCCCTGTGGGCTCTGGTGAAACCAAACCAGATCTTACCAGAGGCAATAAATACTATAAGATAAAAGAGAAAATTGAAGAAGCTTTGGAGAGGGGAGAATGAACAGAGAAGAAGCTCTTCTGCCCCAAAAACAAGTTTAAACAAAATCCAAAGCATTTTTTCTGGTCCCAAACAAGTCAAAGTGAAACCTGCCACTAATTCCATGGGCCTTTCAACTCCAACCCCGTTTCCTGCCAGCAAATCCAAGCRCAGAGGGGACATTCAGGAGCTGGCAGCACAGGTCCTCACACTGGCCACCCCTTCCTCCAGCTGCAGCCCCAAAAAGTCCCCAGGCCACCAGCCCACAACTCCAGCACATCTTGAATCAATTTACAGCAACAATATCGAAATAGCAGCTCGACAACTCATCCCGGTTTCCTTGACAGTAAATCCCAGCCCGGCCGCAATGACCGTGCCACTGCCGTGAGCCAGCGGGTCCGGGCTCTCTGTGGGTGACCCTGATGGGTTTTTGGCACGGGCAGGACTGGGCACGCTGGCAGGGCATGGGAAGGCCACGGGGATGCTGACCGCTGGTGCATCGGCCTCGTGCTCCGAGCCTCTGCCAAGCCAGGGAGCCAACAAAGTCTGCAGGGAGCAGAGAGTGAGAGGAGCTGCCTGGCRCTCGCTGTGGGCACAGGGGCAAGGCATGGCCCCCTTGGGCAGAACAGCACCCCACAACATGGGGCAGGTGGGCATCGCCCCACAGGTCCTGCAGCCACCCAGAGGGGTCACTCGCACGGCAGGGCCGGCAGGGATCCGGGGGAGACAGAGGAGAGGGGCAGGGCTGGTTCCCTGCATCCTGCASCCCCGGCTCTGGGATCTCCAAAATAGGGATGCTGGGAAATGGGGGATGTGGAGGGATCCCAGAAGAGGATGTGCTCTGAGGTGCTGAGGGCGCTGGAAAGATGGAGACACCCAGGATGGAGACGACCAGAGAGGAACAGAGCCCCTGGAACAGGGAGGACCCGCGGGGAAAACGGGAGCTGTGAGACCGAGGGTCCCMAAGGGTGAGCAGAGCCCCTGGAAAGAGCAGGACAGCGCAGGGACGAGACTGCGCCGCGCAGAAATGGGGTGAGGGCGAAGGGGCTGCTGCCCGATGGCTGGGGGCTGGCAGAGGAACGCGATCACAACCCCGGAACGGGCGCAGCGGAGTTCCCCGGGCGAGAGGAGCCAGCGCGGGGCTCCCGGGGAAGCTCCGGGGGCTGCACACGAGAAGCGGCCGCCGCGCCGCTTCCTCTCGCCGCTACTTTCGCTTTGCAGCGACCGCTTCCCGGGGCCGCCCGTCCCGTCCCGCTCCAGCCCAGCCCGTCCCGGTCCAGCCCGTCCCGTCCCGGTGCCGCTGCGCTCTCGCGGTTACCTGCAGGAGAAGGCGTCCGGCTGCCGCTCGCCCATGATGGAGCGGCGGAGCGCCCGGGACGGGGCGGGCGGGACGGGGCGCACGGCTCGGCACGGCTCGGCACAGCTCGGCTCGGCTCAGGCAGGAAACCGGGGCAGGCGGCTCCGCATTTCCGCCGGGCGGAGGCGCGGGGCGCGGACCCCGGCCCCGGACGGGTTATGTAAAGCGGAGCGGCGCGGCCGGGGGCGGAGGCTGCGCGGGGGCGGAGCGGAGGGGCCGCCCCGTCCGTCCGTCCGTCCGCTTGTCCGTCCGTCCGCTCGGGTGACTGTCCCTGTGTGTCTGTGCGTGTGTCTGCCTGTCCGTCCGTCCGTCCGGGCCCCTCCGGCCGCTCCGCGGGTGCGCTCTGCTCCGCGCAGCTCCGCGCCGCCCCTCCCCGCCGCTGCCTTTATCTTATCGCATCCGCGCCYGCGGAGGCAGCGGCACAAACAGCCCGGCCGCGCTCCCGGGGTGGATTTATTTTTAATTTTTGCAGATATATACACATATATTTAGTTTTTATGACTTTTAGCATGTTTTCTTTGTGGTTGTGGGGGTGTCCGCCCCGCCCCCCGGGAGTCGGGACGGAGCCCGAGCGTGGGGTCTCTTGGAGGCTCGGGAGGAAAACACTCTGCTTTCCTGTTCCTGCTTGGCCACGTCTTCCCCAGCTCCGCGGGCTGGGACCCAAGGGACCTCTGTGGTGGCAGCAGAGTGCCAGACGCCGTCTCCAACCCTATTTCTCATAATTTTCCAAATTACCTTGCGGCGAAAGGAACCGCAGGCCACTGCCCACATCCAGCCGGAGCGGATCGGGACACAGGGCCCACACCGTGGGCGAGGGATTCAGCCGTGACAGARCGGTCACAGTGTCCCTTTGGTCCCAAACAGGACTGGGGATTGGTGTGGGGAGCAGGGGCCCCAGGGCAGAGCTGCAGCCGCCCATTCTGCCATGGGAAATGGARGGAAAATAAAACTTCCACCGCACCTTTTTCCAGTAAAGGGCTGGGTTGTGGTCTGTGCTGTCACGTCTGGCCCATTGATATCCCCCACTCGTGTCACTGCTTGTCCCAAGAGCTCCTGTGAAGCCTCGTCCTCCCAGAATGGCAGCAGGGACAGGGACAGAGGGACAGAGGGACAGAGAGACAGGGGGACAGAGGGACAGAGGGACAGGTGTCCACACAGAGGCCACTCACAGAGATAGTGCCCAGGGTCTTGTGCCCACCCAGCACACCGAGCCAAGGAAACCCAGGGATGTGAGCTGGGATTTTACAGACACCACACAATGGATTTGTGGGCGTTGGGAAGGTGGAAGCTGCAGGAATTTGCCCGTGGAGAGTGGGTTGAGCCGCGCTGAGCACTTGTTCACCCCATCCATTCCCAATCCATCTCCTTCCAGCGAGGAAAAGACTGAAATGCAAACTCCCTGCTGGTGCTGTGCCACCCTTGGATCACAGCCGGTTTGGACGCAGCCCTGCTGCCCTCCTCCAGCCTCACCAACTCCCTCTAAATCACATCTGAGCCATGAACCCACAGTCCCCAAGGCACTGCCAGGGACCCGGGTGACTCTGCACCCAGCCAGCCCTTCCCAAACCCCACAGGGAAGTGGCTGAGAGCAGCTGACATGATAAAATCTTACCTTAAAATCTGCTTTTTAATTCCTCCTGCCGCTGCTTTATGCATAATTGCACCTCCTGGCACTTTTCCTGAGAGCGGAGGAGCGGCCGGCGGATCCGGGTGCCTGCCCCCCTTCCCGCGGGCGGCTGTCCCAGCTCCCAGCGATCGCACTTTTCTTTATCAACTTCATCTATGTCAGAAGCGCCCTCTCAGCGTCCTCAGCCCCAGTGGCCTGAGATTTCTCTTTTGTTTTGCTTCCTGTATGGATTTTCTCAGTCCCTAACTGCTAATTCACTACCCCCGACTTCTGCTTTTTTTTTTTTTTTTTTTTTTTTTTTTTTTTTTTTTTTTTTTTTTTTTTTTTTTT